TCCATTGTTTCAGGTCTCCTTCTTGCCTTCACAACGTCATAAAGCTCTTGGTTCTTTGTAGCTTTAAATAAATCTGCCCAACACACCCACAGAGAGTGACTATCCTGCTCCCCACTATTCCTTTTGGGTTCTAACTATACCCTATTCTCACTTCTGTAGGATTTAGCTTTGGCCTAGCTGTCTGCAGGTGCAGCTGGTTTTAGTTCATCACCACTGGACAGTGATCCAGGGAACACATCCTGTGATTAAACTGTTACACTGTTAATGATGCCTGTAAAATTAATTAAGCTCATGAGTTTAAATTAATCTCCGAGTGGTTGGGATGAATGAAGCAGAACCTTTTGCTTTGCAATCAAGAGCGAAGCTTTCATTCACTTCAGGGTGGCCCAGACAGGATTCTCTGACCTAAAGCTGATAACTGATGCATTTTCCAGGCTAACTAGTGTTGAACCAACCCTCTGGAATGGGAAGTTGTGTAGAAATGCTTTATGAGGCCACTTTTCAGGAAGAAACAGTTGCTTTTAATAACTTCTAGTTGGTAGGACTTAACCTATTAACCTATTCAAAATTAGGGTGACTTCCAGAAGACAACTGCAGTTCAGGAGTATCCCCCAACTGTATTTTCATAGGAGGTATTCTTCCAGACTGGACAGGCTGCAGAGTTGGGAGTGATGTCCATGCTTGCTTCATCCCATTTGGAGTTTGGGACGTGGTGTCAGTGAGAAATGAACCAAAGTGTAAAGCCCTGGTGACTCTTCAGAGCTGTGGAGAAGTTTTTTCTGGCCTTTACCTTTTAGATGCATTTTATGTAGATGACTTAGACCATACAGTATTTCCCATTTTTATAAATGTATCTGATTTCCTCCTCTCCAAGGAGTACAAGAGAGTGAGAGATACTCCTTAGAAAGGGCAGATAACGTGGGAAGGGCCACACATCAGCTCACCTTGAGCACCGGAGTGACCACAAGTCCAGTTGCCCTGGATCCTTTTGCAGGTTAGTGAGGGCGCATAGTTGCTTAAAGACAGCATTTTGGGAATTTCCAGTGTGCGTTCAATCCCTACAGACTCTCTGTGTTTTTAAAAATGCTGAGGTTCTGGTCATACAGGACTTCAGCACGTCCACAGTCAGTCCTCAGCAAGAGATGTGCAAAAACTCAGAGCTGGACAGTGAGAGGAAGGGTTGTGCAAGATGCTGTAATGAACACGTGTGATGAATGTGGCAGAGATTTTCTTTTCTTGAGGCTGTTGGATGCAAGTAGGATCCTGTAGTTCTTTGTAGACTAGAATTTGTGAGAAACTCCAAGCATAATCATGTTCCTGTTGAAAGTCTGGTTTAAATATAAATTTTCCATGCACAACGGTTGTTTTTATTTCAGTAGGAATATTGTAAGCAAAACTTTTTGTTCTGAACAGAGAAAGGAAAGCTTTCATTTCATTGTATTGGGAATATGCTTGAAGAAAAGAGTCTTCAAATTCATGGTATTTCAGCCTGGCTAAATATGGCTTGTGGTACTGAGGGGTTCCACAGCACAGCTTCTCAAACCCTGCGCTGGATCAGGCAGCTGGGAGAGCACTATTGCCCCAAGGATTGCCTGTTAACTCAGCACCTTTGAACCCATTTGATCCTGATAGTAAAAGAAGAGGAACATTTGCTTGTATCCATCTGGTTCATCCAGCTTCAGCCAGCACAAGTCTGGTGTTTATGGCCAAATAATTGAGGCAATATTGCCAAATAGTTAGGAAAAATGGAATATACCGCAGTGAATATCAGCTCTGTTTCTGTTTAACGTCTGCCCTTCATCTCATAAAATTTAGGAGTTGCTGTGAAATATAAAATCTTCTCATAGTTGAGGCTTTCTCTGTAGGTGTAGTGGTTTGGTCTTTACCATAGAGTCTTTCTGCATGCAGTTTTCCCATGTGAGGAGTCGTGCTATCCTTTTTTCAGGGGGATGCTCTGGAGGAGAATTTCTGAGTGATTTCCCATGAAGTTAATATTAATCTATATAATATATATCTAATGCATATCTATGCCATAGGCTTCAACAGTGACAAACCATGAATGAACTGCTTCTCAGGATATGCAAATTGAGCATCTGTCTATGATTATTAGAGCACCTCACGAGGGAAGGGGCAGGGATTTGAGCTCAACACATCCAGGTGCCTCTGAAGCTTGTGGTGACATTAATCCATTATTACAGGCATCTCAAAGAAATTCCTTTATCTTGAGCTGTTATCTTAGAGACCAGAGTCCTTCCTGCTGTATAACGCTTTCTATTGGATATTAAGGATTTGTATAAAGCCATATTGTTCCATTAAAAGCCTACTTTTTGAGTGGCAGCAAGACTGGAATAAGGAGCTTAAATTCCAGAGAAGTGCAAATGCTTGGATTGTGTTTCCAACAAGCATTTTGAGTTCCGTGTTGTGGCCATGAAAATAAAAACCTACCAACATAATGTGTTGGTGTTTTAGCTCAGATTTGAGGTTGGTTTTCATATCCGAACCTTCCACTTACACATCTGCCATTCAGTTCATTTGGGAAGGATTGTCCTTCCCAGTTTGTTTTCCATCCTGTGTTAAAAATTCGACCAAATATGATCTATTTGTCCTTCTCCTGCCATCACTTTGCACTTCAAAATCTACACAGTGTGTTCAGTCCAGCCAGGTCCTGCACGAGAGCTCCGTTCTACTGGAATTCTGTGGATTTTCTGGGGTGGTCTGGCCCATCCACACCGTTTCAGTGGCCCGTGTGTGTGGTGATCCACAGGGGGAGCTCTCAGGGAGAACTGGCCCTGTTTAAAACAGGCTCTTGGGAGCATTTTTCGGGGTGTGGCATTAGTTCATAGCTTCGATTTAATTAGAAAAAGACACACTTGGTTCTGATGATAATTTGTTATGATTTGGTATTTCCCATATTTGGGAAAACTTGATGCATTATTGTTTCACTCTTTATGTCTAAATTTTTCCTAAATTGATCAAGTGCTTTTTTTGTCAAATACCCCATCTTTATTTTTCTTTTTTATGAGGGGTTTGAACTGACTTGGGGAAAATGTTTATTTTTTCCCAGTATTTTCTTCAGCCTAGAATTTATTTATTTACCCAGTTTTTGTTAAAGGTCCTAATTAGATTTCTGTGTCTGGCTTTTAAATCCTTGGAAATTGGAATTTCTTATATCAACATTGTCATTGCTGTAGTTACAGGTCATGTGCTTTTCTGTTTTCAAACCACACACTGAATTGTGATTATCTGATCTATTCTTGAACTGTTAATAAAAAAAAAGGAGTGAGGTGTCAAAGCTGCTTTAAGAGTAGCCCTGAAATAATCTCTACAGTATTTATAGGGATATAAATAGTTAACTCTGTATCTTTTTTTTCCCCCAAAAATGTTAATTAATTCTCAAAAGCAAAGAACACCCCTTTATAACCAGTGGGATGTGAATGAATATCAGCTGTGCTCTGATTGTAAAAACATGGTCACTCCAGTAGAACAGGATGAAATGAAACATCTTGCATTTAAAATACACATTTCTGTCCTAGGTGAGAAAATAGGAGTTCAGGGAGTCCCTGGAATCGTCCAATCTGCTCAGTGTCACATCAAAGGATGTTGGTTCTTGTTGTAAACCCCCAAAACATGGAATATGAGTCCCAGATAATTTTCCATCGGTGTGGAAGGGCTCTTGCAGTTCTTATTTGGCTTTACTGTGTGTATAGTATCAGTGCCCAGGAGCCTTAGCTTTGATTTGTATATAGCAAATAAAAATAGCTTCTGTCTTTCTGCTCAAAGCCAGGTTGGACAGGGCTCTGAGCAGCCTGGACTGATGGAAGGTGTCCCTGCCCACAGCAGGGGGTTGGAACAAGATGAGCTTTAAGGCCCCTTCCAAACCAAACCATTCTGTGGTTCATACTTCAATCCTTAGGTAGTTCACTTGGATAAAAGGGAAGGTTTCCTTTTACTCAAAAAAATTTTTTTGTAGAGAGGAATTTTATTTGGATTTTACTTATGCAAAACTGGCAGAAAAAGTCAAATGCTTCAGTAAAATTGACTTTGCTTTGAAGATTCATGTGCAAATTGTAACATCCTGGTAAAGAGAATATGTCTGTGAAAGCTCACCTTGGCTAAAAATGAGTCACAAGTAAACTGCCTTGTAAAACATCAAAGACAATCCAGCTCTGAACAGGGTTTCTCTTTGAGAACAGTTGTGAAGTTCTGTTTCTCTGAGATGCATCTGAGATGTCTTGCACTTGATGGCACAGTGATATTCCCTGCAATTTTCGGTGGTGGTCAGCATTTTTAATACATCTTAGTTTATTGACTTCTCAAGTGCACTTTAATAATGATCTTCTGAGACAATTCTGTGTGTTCAGGCAAAAAACAGTCTGCGCAATACTAAATCTTCAGAAATGTTTTTCTTAATTTGGGGAGGAGTGAGAGAATGGGAATATCAATAATTGGGGGAGAAGACCATTCTGTGTGTTAAGACAGACTTTTCTGCAAATGTTCTTGTCTTTTGTGTATATTCTGCTCCTGCAATGGACCCCCAGCTTATCAAGAATGAAACTTGAACATGTAACCATACATGGTCTGCTGTAATTTGTAATTTGGTTTGAAAATAAGAAATACAAAGTTTTTCTGAGGATGTAGAGTGTGCAAAGCAGTTATTTAGCCTGGAAAAGCAGCAATCTGAGCTGCCTGCTAAAGAGCTGCTGTGTTCATGCTCTGCTGTCCTCTAGGCAGATGCATGGCCTGTTATTTGACTGATTTATGCAATGAAGTGGCCAGACCAGGGGTTGTTTCAGCAGAGAAGAATCTTAAACACAAGGTCCTTTTAAGGTCCTCAAGACGTGCACTCCAAACAGTAACCATTTTTTTAATGTTAGCATTATGCTCGGGGCTTTTGGACCAGTGAAGAAGGGAACCGTTTGCAGAAACTTGTCTCCAGTCACAGGTTTGAACCCAAATGTGTTCACCTGCCTCATTCTGTGCCCATATTGCCTCTTTTCCAGGTCCCTCTGTACAGTCGTGTGCAAGTGGACGTACACGTCAGACAGGGGTTGGGATGACACCTTCTGGAAAATGATTGGTTTGGAAGATTTGGTGAAGGATAAGTATGAAAAAATAGGTATGTCAGGGTGTTGTTTTATGCATATGTATATTCATACTAATAAAAATATATATATATATACATAAGATATAAACATGTATATATGGATGGGGCTTGGAGCAACCTGGTCTGGTGGAAGGTGTCCCTGCCTGTGGCAGGGAGTTGGCATGAGATGATCTTTAAGGTCCCTTCCAATCCAAAACATTCTGGAATTCTGTGAATAAAAGGTATATAGATATCAAAAGATGTTTTGCTGTATAATTGTGAATGTCAGCAGAAATGTATCCGCACTTGTCATACTTCAGATAGGTTGCTGAGAAGGCTGGATGCTCACAGGGAACAGGCTTCCTAAGTACATTTTTTACTTTACATTGTCATGAGAAACTGTGTTTACACTTTTTATCTTCTACCCTTTGGAAAGGCCTAAAAAGCCTTTTTTGTACTGTTTAATCTGAAGAATAGAGAACTAAATAGGAGCCCCAGCAATTGATTCCATGAAGGAAACACTCCATTTGGGTATATTGGATGGCAGGCTACATAAAAAAAGCCCTAATATGGTAATTTATAGCTGTTACTGATAGCATGATTTGTGACCTGTAACCATTCTTCCTTATAGTAATTTTCAAAAAAAGTGCTAGTTCTGCTTGTTGTTATCTTTGTACATTTTTTTTCACTCTCAGAGCCCAAGTTTAATTAGAATGGTAGCCTTGCTAATAGCAATTCCTACAGCAGATATTCATTAAAAGTCCATAACGTTAATACACCAGAAAATTTCCAGGATAACTTTATTAGACTTTCCCTGTTAAGTTAATGGACTTTTAATGGATGTCCTAAGCAGACATGTCATTAACAAGAATATTACCAGACATGAATTAAAATATGCTCATTCATCAAAGTTAATTATCTGAAATTTCCTTTGATTTTTTTTTTTAATGTCTGGCACTTTGAACAAGTTTGTACAGCAGTTTAAATGCAGCAACATGAAATGGAAGTGGTGGAGGAAGGACTGTAGTGAAGTGAAATGTAATGGAATCTATAAACTTTTCTGATCATCACATAATAAGCTATAAGTCATTTTCAGGTTATCAGAAAATTATGCTTGAAAGCTTCCTTGAATAGATTTCGGCTTTTCCCCTGCCACTGAAACTGCTTATGCGGAGGTATAAAACCTAGGAGGAGAATGAGGCTTTTTAGCTTCCTGAGGTTTGGGTTTGAATTCAGTTCTTACAACATCTATCACATGTGGCTTTTAGCAAATCTTCAACAAGTTAAAATAAGACTTGCAATAAATACATGTTTTTACCAGAAAATTGAACATCTTGCCAGCTGGTGGTCTCAGGGAAGAGTATTTTAAAAATAAATTATTTATGAAGTGTAAGCTGAGGCTTTAATACAATATTTATGCAATGCACTTCAAGGACAGTGCAAAGCAATTTGCCATTTTAAGTAACAACATACATGTTTTAAATGATAAAGTAACCATTAATAAAAAGGGCCCTTTGCTGTGATGGAAGCCTCATAACACTGATCTATATAAAGCTCAACATTCAGCAAGAGAAAAATCATTTCCAATATCAGGCTGGCACGTTTGTTAAAAGACGATGTTTACAAAATAAATCAGTAAGTTAACTTCTGTTGATAGGTGTTTCTTGCAAGATGTAAATGTTTTTTGTCAGTTGATGGTGAAAGGGTTTAGTTCCTTGGAAAATTGTGCCGATTTTCAATAAATGAACACGGTATCCCTGGAATTGGAGAAGCACAGTCTGACCTCCAAACCGTAGGGCAGAACTTGAAGTTCCTGCAGAGCAAACACTTGTGCTCACCTTGAGAAATCCTTCGGTTTTCACATTCTGGGGCTGATTCCCTCAGGTGTATCCAAAGCATAGGACAGTTTCTGTTTTGCATAATAATGCTGAAACCCAGCCTTAGGGAGAATATGTGCTCATTTCCCTGACCATTTGTATAACCTCGCCTTTTTCACAAAGGAAGATGTTGCATTCATTAGTTTAGCTGTGTGATAAAATCACAAAATAGCAGGAGAGTGTCCTTCATTCCTGTATCTCTGAAGAGGGAGTGAGGAGTTCCCTGTACCAATGTGGGAACCAGACAGCAACCACTTCATTCCTTTATCTCCTACACTGCACCTGCTGGAGTCTCTTGGAAGGGTTTGGCTTCAGAAGGAAAACAAAGCACCTCACTCCCTGCCCAGAAGCTGCTCCACAGTGTTGTGTGCTCTGGATGGGCTTTGCTTTCTGCCACCCCATATCTTACCAGTGTCCCTGAACATGGGGAAATGGGAATGGTGACTTTGTTCCAATGAAAGTTTGGGGGATTTGATTGGTTCAGTGTTAGACTTGGAAAGAGCACTCTAAATCAGCTCAGCTTTCCTCTACTGAATTTAAATCAATCAGTGTAGATCCACCTAGTAGGGAAGTGATATCTAACACTGGCCAAACTGCAGCTGGAATGGTCTTGGTTAGTGGAAGGCTCCTTTGTACAGATCCAACACCACTGACATTGATAGTGAGGCACCATCCCTGCCCAGACCTCCTGCCAGGAGCCCTCAGGTGCCACAGGATCACACCTTGCACCACCTCAATCAAGGTGTATTTATAATATTGCTCCAGGGTTCTGCCCCATCAGGGAATGGGCTCAGCTGCTGGAGCTGCAGCCTGTCACCCAAAAGGAGGGAATTTGGGTGAGTACCTCATATGGGCAGTGTGTGCTTCCAGGAGGCACAGCAGAACTCACTCCAGCTGACAGGGAGGAATTTGAGGCAGTGGGTTTAGCTGGGTTGTGGATTAAGGAACTCGAACTTGTCAGATAACCCAGGTAGGAGTGGGTTGAAAGGAGATTGTACATGCTCAAACCCTCCTCCTAAAATGAAAACAAAACCAAAAACCTGACAGGTCTGAAGTCATTCTAGTGGAATTTCCTTTTCTGTTCTCAAGCTTGTCTAAGGCCGTGTCTGTCTGCTCAAGGTTTGTTTAGCTCAAATACAAGGGTGCATTTTAGTGCTTGCACGTTCCCCTTGCAAAGACAGATAATGGCATTTTTCTCATGTATCTCTCCTAAAGATTAACAGGCTTTGAATCATCATTTCTTTCTAACCAAAGCAAAATGTCACAAGATAAAATTAGCAAAAATTTCTTACTGTAACAAAAGTAAATACAGAGTTTAACAGACTAAAAGAGGCAGAAAAGACTTTTTTTTTTTTAATCTCTAGTGAAATCATTATTGTTTCCAGTCAGAGGGAACTATAGATGAATAGTTATAACTATACTGTTTTTTTGGAAGTAACTTTTAACTTTCATGCCACTGGAAATACTTATAGAAATTACCTGAGAACAACTTCTTTAGTGGACATATTTCTTTATTCTTATAAATACACTTTTAAACATCACTTTTTAAACTTCTTGCCCTTTGAAAATATATTTACTGTAATCAGAGTGGTGCTTGTGGTTCCAGGGAGTGCCCTCCTCTTGGTTTCAGTTTAACTTAACATATGACCTTGTTGATAAGGGAGAGCCTCACATCTGACCTTTAGGATCTTCCACAAACCTTTCCCACATCAAGGCGTGGGTTCATATCTGAAAATTCCCAGGCCTTTGACATTTTACATTTCTCAGAGCAGACCAACCTTTCAGGGAATCCACATAATAAGTTGTTTGTGGTCCCTTCTGTACACTGTGAATTTACTGATTAGGTTTGTGAAGGTAAAGTGTCTTATCTGGAGATACTACAAAATTTATTGATCCCATTAATTTGCCCAACAAGAGTAGAAGATGACTTGTGTTCAAAACCACTCTGAAAGTGTTGTGTGCTACAGGCATTAGCATTTATCTGCTGTGGTGGAAGCACACGATGAGTATCTCTTTGTGGTATTATAAAACCTAGAAAGACATTAACAATTCCGTTAAAATTTCATGTCCTATAGACCTCTTTGGGTATTGGAGTGTGTGTTCCATTTGGAGGGAAATGCCTGATAAATTTTCACCATAGCCTTCTACTTCAGGGGCTACTTAAGGGACCAAATAATGATTTTTTTTTTTTATGGAATGGTAATATTTTATACCTTGTCTTTTTTGGGTCAAAGATGTTGAGCAGTGCAGGTAGTGCAGAATAGGTGTTACTGAGCTGGGGGGGATTTACTTTAGAGCCCCAGCACTTTGCAACTCTGACTCTTCCCTTCAGTCCAGGAATTTGGGGACTGCAGGCTTCATGCTTTCATGTTCCTGGACACTTTTGAATGTCCTGAAAAGAAGGATCTATGTAACTGGGAGACTAGATGTTGTTTCCTAATGCTCTTTCATTTGTAGTACTTAATAATAAATTGATAATGCAGAAAACATTTTATTTATAGGAATAGTTATATTCCTGCATGTGCCAGTGTCTCCTTCCATATATAAAGCTAATAATGATCTGCATATCTCACTTTTTACACTTAAATAGTCTGCTTAGGTTTTGTATTTTGTCAGAAGTGGTCAGTTTTAATACTTGGAAGTTCTGTTCATTTATTTGCATTTAGGCTGAAAATGGGAGATTGAGTCCAGGGTGGGAGAATTAAATAAGTGTTAACTTAATGCTACAGCAGCTGTGAAGGGAATGGTCAATCCATTTGTTCTGCCAGTTTTCTGTCTCTTCCAAGGCCTTTGATGCCAGATGCTCTGGAGTATATGAGGGATTTCCTTGAAGACTGAGAGAAAGGGATGATGATTTTTTTTTTCAGGTCAGATTGTAGCTGCCAGTTCTTCCTAAACCTGGATTGCAGCAAGAAGCTTTAAAATTCTCTGCAAATAGTAGAGAATAATAGGTAAAGGGATTCTCTTAAGTATGAGATACCTTTATCTGTCTTTCTTTGGTCTTTTGCTCTCCCCAGTAAATTGCAACACATTACAATTTCAAACAAAATTGAAAGGATGAATCAGAGGATATTTACACTTACATGCTGTCAAAATCCATGGAATTTACAAGTGAAGAGTGTTCCAAATATGCTAACATTTTTCTGGCCTCCTGTC